GTCACTGGTGTCTGTACACTCAGTGACTGGACGCCAACACCCCAGTCTTCTCCTGCAGGATCTGTTTGACATTGACATTATGCAGTAGGTCGGCATTGACCTGGTTTGGCAGCTATCGTAATAGTATCTGCCTGGTTGGATGTAGCAGGTTGGTGTTTGCTCGTCGTCCAGTCCGGAATTTTCTTGTAACTCACGGTGGAGTACGCGCAGGGCTTGTGATCATCCCTGTTCACTTCAATATTATCAAACACAACGTTCCCTTTGTCACTCATCTTATCCTCAGTACTGAATTTGCTGACAATATTGCACCACACTTGTCACAACCTACCGCCACTGCTGGCGGTGGCGACTGGTTCGTCAATGGCGGTGACCAGGCTGACTGACTAGCTTCGAGACAGCGGCCTCGTTGTCAACCCCGCGGCAGCCTAAAGGTTGATTTTATCGATCCAGCCTCAGCGCCATGTTGACGATGCCCTAGTGACTGTGTGTCATGGATTGCCTTGCCATCAGCGGTCATTGCCGTCCACCTTGATGCAGCCCTCAACAACTGGCTCAGCCCATGGGAGTCTCAAGTGGACAAAGTTGTTGCCAAAGTAGCTCAGAAGATTGGTGCATCGTGGTGTGGGTGAGCACATAACTAGGACTTCCCAGCGCCTATTTGTCCAGGCTGCGATACTATGTGACATGCTGTACTGCACATTCTTTTCAGCACTGCAAGGCCGGCAGCTGGACCGACTGCAGGCCGCCTGTTGCCAGTGCAGCATTCTGGAACGTTCCTTCCTTCTGAGATCCGTGGAATAATAACTTTCTTTGCTTCAAAGCAAGTTGCTTACCTTTCTGTTGTGCTCCCAGTGTCCTTACAACAATAACCTACAGCAATGTTTTATTTTCCTTTCCATTCCCCAACCAATGAATACTACGATGTCGATTCTATTTCTTCATACTTTGGTGTGTGCCCGCGCACGCACGTGTGTGTGTGTATACCTCACTCGCCACTCGAAGTTCTGTTCCCCATCACTGGAACACTGCCTGTTCTTTCAGGACCTGCCATCATCTGCGGATGGGCATTCAATGATTGTATTGTGTGTGTGTTTCATTCAGAATCAGATCCGCTATCGTTGCTATTAGAGAAAATCTGTGGGTTCACATCCAGTGCATATTTAGATTTGCGTGCTTTTCTCGCCACGGGCGCATACAAGGGACATTGTGTGTGTGTGTGTGCGTGTGCGTCTGTGTGTATGGGGATATTGTCTGTATCGGCTTTTGGTACTAATGTTCAGGTCTGTGCTTGCATGTGTGAACATGAAATTGTTCGGTTCTGTGCATGCTATTGCTATGTTGTATATTATTGTATGTATGTGTGCATTTCCACGAACAGTGTAGACCAGCGTGGAGATTGCATTCATCCCTCATCAACCACTTCCCCTTGGGCTCACGAGAGTTTTTTCTGCGTACCTCTCATTTTTGTTTGTTTCTTTCTGATACTGTATTGATGCCGGTACCTGTACCTCGATGTGTTCCTCTATCTGCAGTCGCCTTTAATCTTCAGTCAAGTTAACGTTTATTGTGCTCTATTTATCGTGCGAATCAAAATAAACAATAATAACACAAGTCGTGCTAGAGTGACGACATGTGCGTGTAGTCACTCTAGCACGACTTGTGTTAGTGGTTGATGCGATGGGACGTTATAATTAGGTGGAACAGAACACACATTGGGCAGATTGATTGGGTATCATTGATTGTGCTCAGTCTAAACAGTGAACATAATAATTATCTCCAGTGACAGACTGTAGCGGCTAGCCTCCAATAGGTAGCTGGCACTAGTCGCTACTGCTTGTTTGACAGGTGCTGCCAGAACCCCTGTTGTGTCATGCTATAGATGCACATGCCCTGTTCTGGGGCATACTGAGGTACTTTGATTTTGTTGACTGCATGTAGACAGGCGGGATCCAATAGTAGTTCTCGTAGACCTTGGCTCTTTGTAGGTCAATCACCATCGCATGGATCGATCGGTGACTATGCACTTGGAGGTTGGAATAGCCCGCGCTGAACAGATCTTGCCATGGCCCAGGGAGTGAACTCGCTTACTCGACTATCCCGGTTTTAGTTAACCAGCATGAGTGGTGCAATTTGTTCATACCATGTTGCGAGCTCACAGTTGTTTGGGCAGGTTTTGAGCTGCAACACGAAACAAAGCGAAATAACGGCGTGACTGTAGAGCAAGGAAGCGGCGAGACGGCACTTCCAGGACAAGACAGGCAGTAGAGATGTGTTCACAGCACGAGCAACCTCTCAAACCCTGCCGGTACTCCACAGTTACAAGAAAATGTCAGACTGGACGCCGCGCCAATGCAAACCTGCTACATCCACCCAGGCAGATAGCTGCCAAACCAGGCCAATGTCGACCCACTGCATACCGGTATGTCAATGTCAAACAGATCCTGCAGGAGAAGACTGGGATGATATTGGCGTCCAGTGTACGGACACCAGTGACATTTCCTGCGTCTTTTGCAGCATACAGGATAGACTCATCACTGTAAAGTCCACTACTTCGTGATTTTTATTTGTAGAATACATGACAGGCGTATTCAGTGTGCCTCGCAGGACTGCGAGATGCTGCAGAAGACCAGTTTCGACCTTTCTGGACCGCCATTCACCAACGGTGGGCTACACGATGCTGGAGGAACTAGATTCCAGTGAAAACCCAAGATTCCTTTGCTCCTGGACGCTCCGACGTGTTGTGATATCTGCCAGGTGCGCAGTAACTAGTATTTTCATCGCTATAGCGAGGACGACGCCGATCGGCAAACTCTCGCTCACAGCCATCACCAGCCTCTCAAAACCATCACTTGGCATCCCCCAGAGGTATAGGAGAAAGCCAAAACAGCTCTCAACAAACAAAAGCTAAGGACGATGGAAAGAGAGCATGTCAAAAAGAAGACGAACAGTATGAAGTTCAAATGGGTTTGAACACTCGTTCCACCAACTATACCACTTTCAATAAATCGTGACGCCATTTTGTTTTAACACGCATACGGTCCAGTGTACGGTACCATGCAAACATGAACATGTAAAAGGCGCGCTCACCAGTCTTGCGTAGTAGCCCGGCTTACGCACGCGACACGTGGCGCGTCTCGTGTACTGGCCCGGCTTTGCATGCGACAGGCTTGTACGCGAAAAGCTGTTGCAGATTTCATGCTTCTACACGAGACAGGCTTATGCACAAATCCGGCTTATGCACGCGACATTACGGTATCCGTTCCCGAAGGGAACTCACGACGGCCGCTGACACCCGATAAACCCTAGCGGCAGATTCAGCGCCTAACGGTGGGGGTGAGCAGGTAAGTCTCACAACCACTGGCACAAGTAGGAGGGAGTGTAGGGAGGTCATGTGCATAATTGCGTACCTACCATCATACAGTGCTGGCAACTGAAATCCGACCCCTGAGCGGTGCGTTCACATTCTAGCGATCTCTATTTTTTCGTAGTTTTACTATCCCGTGTTGGGTCTTTGCGATGTGAGCGCACCTCTCAGGGGTCGGATTTCAGTTGCCAGCACTGTAATTATACAAAGTAATACTTGGAAGTACTTGAAAGTATGAAGACTATGGTACGGCCGGAAAAACCGCTTCCGTCAGCACTGTTGATGCCTGATGTATCAGTGGTGTTCATGGTGTTGGTGTGTGTGTGGGGGGGGGTACACCTAGGGAGTCCATACACTAGCTCACTCGTTGTAATGCTGTGAAAACTAAAAAGAGAAAAAAAGAAAAAGGAAAGACCGTGGCAGGCCCGTATTGGGTGCACTAAAGACATCTCATGATCTTGACCTCGTGGACAACCAGACGCATCATGCATTGTTAGTAGGGCTGAAATGATCGTGGATTTTCACGTATCGATTACTCTTTAGCTTAACGATCGAGTAATCGATTATAATCGTTAGCAAATAGTGTCATAATTCTGTGCAAACATTACTCTGTTTCCACAAACTATGCCTTCATAATGCCAACAAATCGGCATTAGTGAAAGGGTAGCTCCGAAACATGGCAGTTTTGAAGTCAATTTAACCTCAGAACATGAACCATACCCCTGGCAACTGCATACTCCCAGAGGAAACTGATTCAAACTTCACAAAACGAGGGTTTACAGAACTTTCTGGACACCAATTTAAAAAACGCAAAATAATCGTAAGCGGTAATCTAAACAATTGCTCGATCGTTAGAGTTATCAAACGAGTACTCAATTATTCGGTATAATCGTGTCAGCCCTAATTGTTAGTAAGGAAGAACCAACTGACATGCCCAGTGCAACTGTCATCCGGTAGGACCGGTACACAAACACACATCAACTTATTCAACAAGTATTATTATTACTTGATTGTTCTCATGGAAAGCGTGGGTTGTAAAATAGTAAATTGTGCTAAAACATTGTTTCTCTGAGTGCAGCCCTGGAACACAGCAATATCATAATCAGCTACTGTAATTTCACAAATTTTCGGTGTACTTTTATTTTCGGTACTTTCGGTGCATCTGTTTCATACCTAAAATTTCAATACACCGAACAAACACTAACACGTATAATCCAATGGGGAACTGCTTCCCTGTACCGAAAATTTCAGTTCACCTAACCTAGCCTTTTGCTCTCATACCGAAAATATTGAGCACCGAAAATTTCTGAAATTAGAGTATATTCGTGTATCTTGATAAAATCAACAGTGACTCATCAGTGATCTGGCACACAGCACATACAGGCATCTGGTAAGAAACCCATCCGATCGTTCGGAATCGGGGAAAGTAGGACCGACGGTCAGTGACAGCAGGGCCGCGCCATGCAAGAGCTATCGGCCGCTCTGTGAATGACCTACCATGCACCGGAGCGCGCCCGTGACAGACACTGCACAGTGTGCCATCGACTGCCCCACATGGCCCACATGCCGGTTGCACGCGCCACATCTTCTGCCTACTACACTATAAGAGATCGCGAAGAATTCGGCAAAGTAAAGGTCCAGGAACACTAGAAAGCCACACAAGGCTAAACAGATCTATTCATTGTCTCATGAAACGTTCAGAATTAGAAAGGATTGAAAATATGGACCAAAAGCTGTCTGGCCATGCAAGGAATTCGAAATAATGTGGTATTCATTCACAAAATATTGTTAAAAGGTCAAACCCTATTGGTGGTATCAACAAAATAGATATGTTTTGACTTGTGTTTATTTTAAATTCTGTGAAAAATAATGGAATCTGTGATTTTGTAAGAGTGTTTATGACGATTTGTAGATAAGGGTAACAGGGAAAAAAGCAACTGGCGAGTCAGAGCAATTTCAAGGTGAGCGTCGACAATGAGCCAGTGGAGACTCGGAGGAGAGAGTGCGTGAAAGAGACAGACAAACAGATATTCACACATATGTAAACACACTCAGACACACACACACACATTCGCGCACAGCGACTGGAAAACGGGATAAATACTTTTTTCGTACGAGCACATCACTAACCGCATAGGGAGATGCGGTTGTATGTTTACTTGGTATGGCGATTCCGATTCCACAGTATCAGCTCCAGGATAAGGTAAGCCAGGATACGGAAGGCGACGCTCAGAACAATGAGAATTCCAATATCCAACACCAAGTTGTCCTGCAAACATGACAAAGAACACAGAGATTGCAGAAGGACGTTCTGTTGCAGACATCGGACATGGCAACACCGATGCTCGACACCATCCTGCAGGACTGGTCTCAATCCAATGGGTCTTCTTCATTTTCGGTTACTCAAAGCACGTCACGTACTATCAGATTCGTACCTGCTTGGTAATGTCAAAGTGCGTCATCAGTTTTCTGCACTTCTCCTCTTTCCGATAGCACAACTTTCACAGTACTGTACAGTGTACCGTGTACCGGGTCTAATCAAATACTAATACAGTAATAGCTGTTGAGCATGAAAGTAATGTTTTTTTTTACTCACGTGAGATTTATGGAGTCGGTCAAACTAGCAATAGTCGCCACACTGCAGTCCCCATTCACATCCTTCGTGCCACATTGAGTATGTACCAAGTGCCACATCGAATATGTACCAAGTGCCACATCGAATATGTACCAAGTGCCACATCGAATGTGTACCAAGTGCCACATCGAATATGCACGAAGTGTCACACCGTATCAACACTGCACATCCTTCCCCGGTGCCATGGTGTGTCCGCAACAGGATCGCCATTCTGCACACCTCGGTACGCCACCACCCGTCACAGTGGATCAATGCACCGGATACACGATGGTGGCAACTGAAATCCAACCCCAGCTCGGCGGGCTCACAATGCAGCAAACGCCCGGCAAGCGCAAGTTGTAACGCTACGGAATAGAGTCGGCTAGAATCGGTACTGCATTTGAGAACAAAAATCAGGGGTTGGATTTCAGCTGTGACCACTGTAGATATAGGCCCTGGAGTAATCATGGTGTGCACATTATCCAGTTTCATTTTCTCTTTCTTTTTGAAAAATAATTTTCAGCAAAGCCATGAGTAAAACAATTAAAGCCGACATAATACCATGATGGCCTAATAAAATGAAAAAATATATATGTGTAGTCAAATTCAGAAATTTTCTTCCATGGTCATCAGTGAACCTACATCGAATAATGTATTATGAGAAAACAAACCAGAATATATGCTCAAACTAAGTGCTCATTGAAGGTTACAAAAGTGACTAGAGTAACAACAAGGGTGCAAGGGTGGCTGTATTATCACAATGGTGTGAGCAGTGTGGAATGAAAATAACAATGATCCAGGGTGTGAGAATCTCAGTGTATAGTGTGAGAGATGTAACGTTTTCCTTCTGCGTGCATACGCTCAATGTTATTTTCAATCCACGCTGCTCACAGCATTGTGACAATACAATCACTTTTGCACCCTTGTTGTTACTGTAATCATTTTCTAACCTTCAAGGAACATTTAGTTTGAGCATAAATTCTGGGTTTGTTTCTCATATACATTATTCGATGTTGGCTCACTGATGACCATCGAAGAAAAACGTTTCTGAATTCGACTTCACACAATTTTTTTTATCAGTCCACCATGGTATTGTGTCGGCTTCAATTGTTTTATTCATTGCTTTGCTGAAACCTCCGTCTCCGAAACGGCTCTTTAAAAATAAGTTTGTTTTGCTTTTTCGTTTAATAGTTGTTGTGCCAGGCCAGTAATAATGTTCTGTGATTGCCCGCATAAGAGGCCTTTCACATTAAAAAAACCCAACAAATAAACATGTCGACCCTAAAGTGCAATACGCAACGTGAGCATTCAATGTGAGAACAGAGGGTAACACGCAGTTTTAAGCGGTAAGAGTGACTTACGGGATCAAAAGCGTAGAAGTTGAGCACTTGGCTGCCGTCGGAGAAGCACGGCATGCCCATGCTCCCAGGTGCCGTCATGTTGCGCATGGCGCTGGTCGGTGCAGCGGTTAAGCTGGTCATGTTCGCCTCCAGGTCAGTTAGCGTTGACATGGGGGTGGTTGCCACAGCCGCCGCACAACCAGCTGAACAATTGATCACAAGCAAGTGAATTGGATAAGCTGCACTGATACTAGAATAGTCAAAAGGCAATATAGCGAGTTAAAGATAGCACGAGCTCCAGTGTGGGGAGTACACCATTTCCTAAAGATAATCTGCTCAAATCTCCTTTTTAATAGTTATTTATTTTATTCTTGTCGTGCAGCCGTGTGAGAGTCTGTTCGGGGATGGAGGTGTTCACAAGTGGAAAGAAAACGCTGTAGTGGAGTTGGAGAGTTTGAAGAAAAAGTTCACTGATAAGGAAAAAATGTGTTTAGGTAGTCTGCTGACGTTGGGCATGTTGTAAAATGATGTGTTGTTTTCCTTTGTGATGGCATTCCCCAAACTGTCTTCGTCTAGTCACGCGCACGTGTGATACGAGCATGCGCGATGTTGTAGTCGAGAGTTCTTTTGCCAGTCTTCTTGTTCGCCTCTGTCAGTGTAGTCTGCTTTTCCGTAATGTCAATACTGAAGTATAAATAATGTAACAAACAAGTACTTTTCCTTTTTGTCCTGCGTCCCGGTGAACGGAATGGCTGTGATTCTTTTACGGGCAAAAGGTGAGCTGTTTAGAATCAAACTGGCGATCCAGCTGCTCATGTTGCTGCTCAGATTTCCATCCACAATACCATTCATCAGATATCACTCATGGCATGACACTGCTAGTAGTTGGATGAAAGGTCTTGTCACCACTGTGACTTTGTGCTGAAACCTGACAGCTCCACCTTGCTGTTCAGAACCCGGCCACACGCAAGGCAAGGGGCACCCTAGCTAGAATGAATTCAAACCATGTTTCTGTACGAAATGTGTGAGCCTTGAGTGGAGGGGGGGGGGAGGAGGGGGTCACCCCACACCCCTCCACACAGAGAACCCGCACACGCCGCAACTAATGCGATTGGTCAGGTCAGCGCTGGACAAAGTGTCTGGCCACCATCACGTGTTTACTGCTGAGGAGGTCACTTGTACCCGCCATCTACACAAATATGAAAGTCTACGGTACGGCCGGTACAATCGAAAGCTGCCTCCATTGGTCCGGGAACTATACGGGTCCTGCTTACAACTAGAAAAGGGACGCGCGGAGAGCCAAAGCTTACCACTAGAAAAGGGACGCGCGGAGAGCCAAACAATCATAATTCAATGGCATACGGGATGACATGTGGGGAGAGAGATGCATGTGTGCCATATATCCAGTGTACCGGAAGCAAGCAAGATCCTGATATGACTTACAGATTGACTTTCCGTCCCATTCATTAATCATGGCCGCTTCGAAGCCATACTTGATCCAGGAGATGTACTCCAGCCAGATGAAATAGTCGGGAATATCACTGCACGGCCATATCCGCGGCAGAAGAGATAGAAAACAGGAAATAGCAACACTGAGCAAAACTGAGCATGCTCAAATCATCGACAAGAAAGGTACAGTGATGCCAGGCAATTCCGATCACATGAGTCCACACTCCACTCACATGCTCAAATTTCATTGAGCAGCATTGTACCTTGGAGAATCGAAGCTAGCAGTGCCATGATGTTAGACAAAAGCAAGTATATCCACTATCTCTCGTCAATTTCCACATGTACTTTTCCCATTCCGTGGATGTTCTCACATGACGAGACACAATCTGAATTCCTGTGACCTGTGGCCTCTCCAGTGTCTGCTCTAGGATTTCAAACATGTGTACCTGGCAGAACTCATCCAATCGGGTCAGAGCCGGGTGTGTTCAAGTACAGCTAGCCCACTGCATGTATACCAGGGACCGGTAAAATAGTTTGGACTATAATTATACGTAGCATATGTATACTATTCCCAACCAGGTCACCAGTGGCCCGGTGTTCTTTTTCCAAACGGGTCCAAGTACCCCCCCCCCCCCAACCGGGTCGCTGACCCGGCTGACCCGCCTCTTCGGCAGACACTGCTCTCACAGGCGCTACATGTAGGATGTCGAGTTGGGACACAACCGGAGCCCCTGTGCCGAAAGTCTTTTAAAATACAGAGTACTAACACAGAGCGAATTCCAACACGTGCACACTCCATAGCCATGGCTGTAGCAGCACCGCTAACCCAAACTCTGGACAGTTGTCCAACTCCGAGGGTTTTCAACAGTAGCCATAGCAACGCACACATGGAATAGCTAAATGAGCGTCTAGCCCAAGAAACACATTGAGTACACGTCCCGCAAGATGACTTACTCCGAGTTGAGGAAGAGCCCTCCAAACAGCATGAACGGGATGACGAGCGGTGGTGTCACGGCCAGTCCGATAGCCACACTAGGCACGGCGGCTGATATCACGTACCCTGTAGAGGAAAACACACAGTCGTGGTGACGCGCGGAAGAGCATGGCTGGGAAATCAGGTGCTGCGAGGAATCTGCTTGCTGAGACATCCTTGGAGCACTGGGCAAGGGGTACTACAGGTTATCTCGTGAACACCGACCTCAGGTGGGACAACAACCAGCGAATGACGACACAATCTTCATCCTAGACATCACTTAATGCATACTTTTAACTTCACGAATAATGACAGCTCGCAAAAAAACCACCTTTCTCATGCACAATTGAGGGTTGTTATTTGCAAGGTTGAATGTGCTTTCTACAGCCTTGGGTATGAGCAGCACATGGTGCAACAACTACTGTATGATCAAATATTTTAATGTCAATCATAGTTTGACAGCGATCTCCGGATTTCTGTTAGTTAGCGAGGTGAAATGTTAACGAATTCTGTCTCAAAACCGGTAAATGACTGTACATGTATCTATCGTTTTCCACATAACGACTTCAAATTTCAACGAATTTTCTAAATCCATCAAATCTTTAGAATAAAATGTTCGTATATATTACTGGTCTTAAAGTAATGCACAACACGGTTCTTTGGAGTTTGGGCACAACATCTGTGTCGTGGACTCGTCGCTGAAGTCTTTCAGGCATGATGGGTCAGGTCATTCCATAGCGAACTCACCAATAGACTGTGCGGCTAGTGCCATGGTGACAAAGACAGCATACAGGGTGAAGAAACGATCCGCCCTCGGGTTGAGTCCTGCAGGAAGACGGGCACAACCACAGAAAACCGGTACTGGTTAAGTCAAGAGCGGACGATAACATGCTACAAATGCAAGCGGGCAAATAACCGAACACATCTAATCAAGATAGTGGTAGCGACTTCGGCGATCATTTCATAGGCAAGGTGCTCCCCACACCGGAGCTTGCGTTTTTCCGCTGACTGAAGTCAATCAAACCTTCCACTCAGCAAAACCTGCAAGAAAGCACCACTATCTACTCAGTACGTCTTTAGACAGAACGGCGGTCGTACCAATCATGAAGTAGATCACAGCCTGGAATACCAACGGGATGGTCAACTGAAAGGGAATCTGAAAGAAACACAGCACAAAACATGATGTCAATACCAGTTGCAGCCTCCAAGGACTGCGATCCACATGGGGCACACCATGCACGGTTTCAACTATAAAGCTTGGGCTCTGAGAGAAGCGTTTATGCCGCTTTTAAGAGATAACATTACACTGGTATGTTAGATGCCATTGGCATTTTCTCCAATTTTGAGATTCGAAATTATCCAGTATTGTAACAGACATCATGATTTCTTTCGCTGTCCTCGTGTCTGTTCAATACAGCGCTGCAATGCGCTCAAAATAATCAATCAGCTTGATATAACGTTTAAAAGTACAGTACGGATCGGCTATAGCGTTGGTGTTTGATTTTCGTGAAAATATCACTATAGGCGATATATTACTATAGGCGATATGCATACTTAGGTATGCCTGACAAATGCGTGTATGGTGTCATTCGAATCAGTGCAGCGTGCAGAAGCGTGCTGTGCATGTGACTGTGCAGTACGCGCAGTGCAGAGCTACTTCCTGCGGAAACAAAAACTTCATGACTTTTTGACATGAGTTTTCAAGGAGTTGCTGTGCTCAACGAATGTGTTCTTTTGGAAGAGAAACACTTCAACACATTCAATCGACATAATAGGGTTTGAAAGTGATGACGTCAAAACGGCCAGGGAGTAGTAAGTTGGCATCAGATTTCTATTTTTGGATCCACTAAGGTGTGACTTTGCTATTGCCTAAGTATGTGGGTGCATAGCAACCCACTCATGTCGCATGCAGGTGTGACTTTTATTTCGCCACCAGTTGTAACCCCGCCCCCAGTAGCCAAATCAGTCAGTTTCACTGGCTACATCACCATGCTGTGGGTAAGACCGCTTGAAATGTGCTTGGATCCATACAAAAACTGGATCCAAGTGGATCCAGTTTTTGAATTTTTGAAATTGTTGCTATGCTGTGACGTAGCACTTTCAAGCCCTATTATCAACAATATCTACAGGATCGATTAGTGGGAGTAGAGTCTCAGTCTGGGTCGTCATCGCTCGACTCATCACCGCTGAAACCGTTCAAAGTGGCACGACGATCGACACGTGATGTCGTATGTCACGGAGAAGCTTCACCGCGTCCCTGATCTTCGCTGTTACCTGAATGCCTTCTCCAACATCTCGGCGGAGACCACGGTAGCGCTTCAGCGCTGGTACTCATTACTGCCTCCAATCTCGCTCGAGAATGCCCCGGAACAACAACTTGAACAAGCACAGCCAACGCCAAACATTTCGAATTTCCTCCAAGGGATATCATAGTCGTACCAGCGCTTCCTGGCTGCCGCGATCAGATCTCGCCACGTACGATGTATAATTTTTTATGATCATCACTATAGCCGATGAAAAATGTATGCAATAAGATCATTTTGACAAAGAAATCGTATCATTATAGCCGATATATTACTATAGCAGATTATTACTATAGCCGATCCGATATGTATAGAAAGGGGTGGTTTACGAAAATGAATTTGAGAATACGATCACTATAAGAGGTATATTACTATAGCCGACAACCCTATAGCCGATCCGCACTGTATACTTTTTGCCAGCTAGCTGGCCTCTGCGTACACCGCAGACACACCCACA